TAAAGGAACCGTCGAACGACCGAGCGACAGAGTGACGTCGTCCGACATCAAAGCCCTATGCGTGACTGCCGAGAGCAAACCGGTGCAAAGGCTGGATTTCTTGTTTTAGGTACAAGCAGGGCCCGGAGATTGGAATAATTATCACGGCAGGTACAGGAAACTGGCCAAGTTTCCCTTCCCACTCTCGCCCACAGCTTCGTTGCGTGTGGTAGGACGAGAGTGCCACACGCCCCTGCTGCACAAGGAAAACAACTGTGAAGCTAAAACAATCCGAAAGGATCCCTATGATTCCAAGGGTTACACACACACACTTGAGAAGGTTGCTCCGTGGAGCGTGATTTCAGGTAGCTTCGCGGTGTGCATTAGCCCTTTAAATCTAGATACTGCAGGAAACAACGTATGAGACAGCGTTGAATTGACTTAGAAGCATCAATGAGTGAAGATTAAAAATTGCAGGTACAAGATACTGCGTCCAGTATCTCTTCCAACCGAACACCATAGCTTTGTTAGCACGGCTAGGTGAACGGCCGCCGTGCCCCCTGCTTCTGTACAAAAAGCTTGTAGGGTAGATTAGAAAAACTAGGGTAGTGTCCTTGGAAACAGGAGTGGACACACACACTGAGCCGTATCGGCGCAACTAGATCGGTTCAGGTAAGGCGTGGAAAATAAATAGTGGAAGAGCTTGACATGGAAAGGTTCAATACTGTAAAATACATATCACAGCAGTCTGCGAAAGCGCCGGCACATAGTCTTTTTCTCTTGGCCGCAGCGCCGCGGCGCAGTGTGCTGGTGAATGGCCTTTGGCCATATATAGCTGCATCAACTTCTGTGCGGTCGTGTGGGCGAGATGTTTGGGGTAAGTGTATTTTTGTAGTGTGTGGTGGCGTGATTGTAAGCCTGAAAGGCGTAGTCTGTGACTCCCTGCTGACTGCGGATCACGAATCTGCCAAGGGTGGGTGGGGAGTTGGAAGGTGACGGTTCTGTTGAGAGGGTCAATCAAGAAACCGAGTAGATGGTTGTCGTCCACTGGCTCTATTTCAACTGGTTGTTCATAAAATTCCGGATGGGCCAATGTAGTGATGGGGAGTGCTGATCTGTATTGTTCGTTGAGCAAGATGTATCGGTTGTCGACGTAGCGAGTGTTGAGCAAGTGAAGGCTTGGTTGGTGTAGGAAGGTGTGATGTGTGGTTTGCCAAGTGTGTTCGATGAGCGTGATTGCCACATTGCAAAGTGCTGGTGAGAGCTGACTGCCAATGCCGGCTCCTTGAATTTGTTTGTAGTAGGTGTTGCAAGCTTGGAAAATGCATGAGTGAAGGGCTTGTTGAACAATAAGAGGAATGTGTTGTGTGTCAAGTGTGCGTTGTTGTGGGTGGTGGATGTAGTGACGACCGATGTGTGAGTGTTGGATGGGATTGCCGGTAGACTGGACATCGATGGTAATGGTGGTGGTGTCGTGTTGTGCTTTCCAGCGGTTGCATAGGCTAATGACTGCGTCGACAAGGCGTTGTTGAGGTACGCTGTTGAAGAAGCCGACAGGGTCGTCGTTGATCGGTGTGAGGTGGATGTCTTCGGGTGTGGTCTGGAAATGGTTGTGGAGGTGTTGCCAAAGGTTGGGTATAGATAATTGGCCTGGATGTTGTGGTAGAAGATGAAGGAGCATAATGTCTAGTGCCTTGGAGGTGGCTCGTAATAATGTGCCTGCGATGGATCTGAAGTAGCTGATGACTGTTCTACCCTTTCGCCAGGATTTCTTTTGTTTGAGGAAAACTACTCCATGTGGTGTGTAGAATTTTGTGCGGAAGCCCCAGGGGTATGCTTTGCGAATGCTGGCTGGGAAGGATTGTGTGAGAAATTGGTGGAGCTGCTGGGCTGTGAGATCTGGTAGTGGGAGAAAAAGTTGTGGTGTATTCCATGTGGTGAGACATCCGTGGAAGTAGTGCTGTGGGCAAAAGAGTCGTAGGTTTTGTAGTTCATGGTCGGCATGATGGAGTACCAGCTTGTCTGTAAGAAACTGTTGAAGCTGTGTCACGTTGCGGGACGTAAAGCGGGGCGTGTATAGAAGATTGTCGATGTGCTGTTTCCATTGTTGGTGTAGAAAAGGTAGGCTGTGTTGATGGAGGGCAGTGGGTAGACCATGGTGTCGTAGCCAGTAAGTGAGTTGTTGTTCAAAGTGTTGGAAATATTGCGTCTTTGTGGGAAAGAAAGTGCTGTTCATGTTGGCTTGTAGGAATAGTTCGAGATGGCTGGGAAGCTGTAGGTCTTCAAGTGTAAGGACGTAGTGACCATCGTAGAGCGGCGGTGTGTGGTTGGGACGAAGTAAGGTGTGCATGTGGTGGCAGCTGCATGGCATGTCAGCGGCTGTGGGATGTGTGGAGAAGAGTTCTTCCCAACGTTTGTGGTTGTAGAGCCGGGAACGCAAAGTCTTGTGTGCTGCTTCGCGTAGTTTGGTAGTAGGGGGGTGGAAGGGAATGACGTGATGCATGTGGTGTTGGATCAATGTGCGAAGCCATTTTTCTGTGGAAGACGAGAAGGAATTGTGGGAGAGGAAAGGAATGGTAAAGGGTTTGTTGGCTTTGGGTGGAGTGAGATTGCGAAAGCTGAGCGCTGAGTGGAGAAGGTGAAGAACACGTGATCGATCTGGTTCCTCTAAGCTGGCGGCCATTCGACGGAAAGCGTAAATTTCGAGATCAGTGTATTTGCCACTGCGGGTGGCTGTTGATGTTTGAAAAGATGAAAGTGTATGTTTGCTGAGCTCGCGTAAAACTGTAAGGGCGTGTAGGCGTTGACTTGTGTGAAGGTGGGGTTGCTTGATGGTGTGTTGTCGTCGTCGGAGCCGTTGGAAGAGACGTTTGTGAGTGGACATCCGTGTGAAATTGGTGCGATGTTTTGAAAATTGCCAACCTGAGGCTTTGAGTTTGAGGTGTCTTTGGATATAGGGCCAATTGAGTGTGGGTTGCCATTCTTGGATCCGCAGGTGTTCGTAGGTCCATGCTTGATCATAGGTGTCGTGATGGGAAAGGTAAATAGTGCTGTAGTGGTGGAGGTTGTTCTTGGAGTGCCAGTAGCGCAGAGAAAGTTCAGCTGAAATGGGGTGGTTATTGTGTAATTGTTTGAGTTTTGCGTGACGATTGTATTCTCGCTTGGGGATAGTGATGCTGGTAGATCCGATGTATGTATGTCCATGTTGGTGGTACTGGTGTCTTGTGTGATGTTGGTTGAAAAAGAGCTTGGCATAAACCGCATTGGGATGTGTGAACATTTGGTAGTGATAAGTGTGTGGTGTAACTTGTAGTTGGTTGAAACGGGAGCGCCATTGTATAGAGTGATGTGTTTGCGAAGGAAAGGCAAAGAGGCATGTAAGGTGAATAAGACTGACAGAAAAAATAGCGTGTGACTTGTCGATGTATGGGGTGAAATGGACAAAGTGTGATAGTGCTGTGTGTAATGTTGTTAAAGATTGTAGGGTGTGATGTGTTGGTTGATGCAGCGCTTGTTGTACGAGTCAGGCTGCCAATGCCGAACCCGCGGCGACCAGTTGCTGTAGTGAACGTGGAGGAAGCTTGAGGACTCGGGCCAGCGGGACGCCGTAGCGGGTAGCTGCTTCTTGGAGTTGTTCTTTGGTGATGTGTTCATCTCGCAAAATCTGCTGGATGTTGGTGACCTGTGTCTGAGTGGCTGGTGGCAATGTCTTGAGCCATTTCTGAATGCCAGCGGCTGCATAGTTGGCTGGTGAGTTGTCATGGAGTGTTTGTGTGGTGGGATTGAGAATGGTTGTGGTTGTGATGGCGGTAGGGGCTGGGAGTGGGAGATGCGGTGTGTGAGTGGCGGGTGATGGGGTATGGTGCGACCCTGGCTTGGTTGGTGTGAGTGCAATGCCATGATTCTTCAGCTTGTCGCGAGCGCGCTGGAGTTCGCTCTCTTGTTGTTGTAAACGGTCTGTCTGTTGCTGGAGCTTTCGGAGTGCTGTGCCTTCGCCGGCTGGTGGTGTAAGGCCTCGTAGAAAATCAATGATGCGAGAAATAAGTGGTTGCATGAATTGTTTGGCTTCTGTGGTTTTGTTTGGAATGGACTGATCTGCTTGTTGGTGCAAATATTCAGCGATGTTGTCGATGTCCAGGTTGTGGGCTCTCATCTCCGGCAACAATTGTGAAGTAAAGACCGCCTCCGCGATAGATCTGGTGGTGACAATGCCTGTGTAGCGTCCTTGGGACAGGATGCGTAGGCTGTGGTCCTGGAGGCCAAAACGGCTGAGCTGCCATGGGAAAATGTCGAGGACTTGTTGTCCTGCGAGGTTGTATTTCCTGGACCATTGCGTCGGCTGAATTGTCCGAAACAATGTGTGACCATGTACGGTATTTGTATCCAAATGTGTGTCGCTGGGAGTCCATGTGTCAGGTAGGTTGGGGATGTTGGGGGGTACCACACCAAGCTGTG